ACAGCAACACGACGTTAAAATCCCATGTCCGTGATGGTTTGGGCCGCGGTAACCGCCACTGGGAGGTCCCCACTCGTTTTTGTCCCCTCAGGAGTGAAAGTGAACAGTCAGCGATACATTTCGGACATTTTGGAGGCTGTGTTGTTACCTTGGGCCCGTAAACACTTCAACGCCTCACCATGGAGATTTCAACAAGACTCCCCCATCACATGGCTCAAACATGACCCAAAACTGGATTCAGGGTCACATCCCAGCGTTCATTAGCAAAAATGAATGGCCCTCAAAAAGCCCTGATTTGAATCCTCTCGACTTTTCTGTGTGGGCTTTTTTAGAGAATAGGGTCTGCAGAACACCTCTTGATTTTTCGGATGGTTTGAAGTCCTAATTCACACGAGAATGGGACTTGATTCCTCAATAAATGTTGCGTGTCTCCTGTGAAGCTTTCCGCATAGATTGGAGGCCGTCATTAAAAATTAGGGTGGTCATATTGAATAAATATGTCTGAGAATTGTTAAGGTAATTCTTGACGACTAGCTCATCCAATAAAAAAACAATGCACCTGTTTGTTCCATTGAGAAATAACAAAAAGACATGCGTTGCCATAAATATGGCGGACCCTGTACAAATCAATACACAAATTCCTGGACCTGTCATCAACACACTCTACCAATCCCTCTCAGGCCAATACAATACCGCCATCAGCATTGCAATCGTTCTAAACCCAGTCACTGCGCCCCAACCTCCTTTGCCATCGCTAGCCACTCCACCAAACATTCTCACACAAACCCCCCACCTCCAATTAGACCCAGAAAAACACCTTAACACATCAAAATAATGCAGATAAATACTAATGGACTAACAAGCAAAATAAAAGAACTCAAACTAACCACAAAACAACATGACATTGACATCATCACAATCCAAGAATCTAAACTTAAACCGACGACTCGCACACCCACTATATATATACCCGACTACACTGCTATTCGTCAACATAGGGCACACAACACAGGAGGCGGACTCATCACTTACATATACAATAACATAGTTTTCACAACAATTGCCATTCCACAACAAATCAACCAAGAAGCCACTGAAACCCAACTAGTCAAAATACAACTCTCCAACAACAAATTCATCCACATAGCTAACATATTTATCCCTCCCAGAGACACGCGCTTACCGTACCATCATAACCTAGAGCAACACATCACTGACTGTTTCACTTACCTCCTCAACAAGCCTTACACCATTAATACAGGCGACATCAATGCTCACCACCCATCCTTGTACTCTCCCAACTCAGACCATAGAGACAACCTTATTAACTCACTCATACAAAACTCTAACCACATCATACTCAATGAAAACTCGCCCACACGCATACTCACTACAATAGAACAGCAGCCCACGTCACCAGACATATCTACAGCCTCAAACGTCATCTCAAACAAGATAACATGGTCAGCTATCACAGCTCTCAGTTCCGATCACGTTCCCATCATATTACACTTTCGCACCAAAATCAACTACCGCATAAAAACCTATAACAGATCTTTCACAAATTACCACAAAGCAGACTGGACAGCTTACTCGCAGGAAATAGACCAAGCACTCCATGACACTTCAGCATCCACCAACATTCACATTGCCAATAAAATGCTCACTGGACTCATCTTACAAGCAGACAACACCATATACCCAGAGGAAAAATAAATAAACAACAGACACCTCTACCCCAAGCATTCAGAGACAGAAAACAACAACGCAACCACATCAGGAAACAAAACAGACATGACTCATCTATCCAACAACTTAACAGAGACATAGACCTTGAAATAAACAATAACAAGCGCAACCTATGGAAAGAGCACCTCGATCGAAACTGGAATAACAAACACAACACGCACATTCTCTGGCAGACAATCTCATCACTCTCAAATAAAACACCACGCCAAGAACCAAGCAAAACTATACAATTCATAACCACAACAGCATGCACTGACAAAGAGAAGGTAACACAATTCAACAAACAGTTCATAAACACCAAACCTCACACAATAACACGATAACAGATAGAAGAATTAAATCACCAAAGGGCAACCCAATAAACATAACAACAGCTATGACCATACTCGCCATAAAAAACAGTAAAAACAACAAATCAACTGGACCAGACCATGTAAACATTACATCTCAAACACATGGGCCCCACAACAATTGCATACCTCACTCAAATATACAATATCGCATTAAACTCCAATATAATACCCCATACCTGGAAGTTAGCCAAGATAATTCCACTACCTAACCAGGAAAGACACTAACATAGGGTCCTCCTATAGATCAATTTCAATTCTCAGTCCAATAGCCAAAATACTGGAAAAAATTATCCTTGATACAATCACACCTCATCTCCCTAACATTGAACACCAACATGGCTTCAAGCAACACCATTCCTCCATCACAGCACACCAACATATCACAGAACACATCGCCACAGGTTTTAATCAAAAACGCCCGCCACTTCGAACAATAGCCATAGCATTAGACATGAGCAAAGCATTTGATACGGATAACCTGCACACACTAATCAACAAACTATCCACAACCGCAATAGAGCACACTACACTTAAATACATAGCAAATTACATCAAAGGCAGAAAAGGCTTCACACAAGTCAATAATACCAATTCAAAACAGAAATTATTCAAAACAGGCGTACCACAAGGCAGAGTCCTATCACCCACACTGTTCAACATATAAGTTACAGATATACCCTCACCTCCACCCAATATTAAAATAATTACATATGCAGATGACATAACAATCTTATCCTCCCACAAAGACTATAACACTGCTGCACAAGCCTTTCTTCCATACCTACAAACCATACACACATGGACCACAGAAAACCAACTACAACTCTATGCAACAAAAAGCACTGCCACTCTTTTCACACCTGAGCCGGCCGAATATAGCACACAACTCAATATCAATAATACACTCATTCCAACAGTACGCAACCCTAAAATACTTGGACTAACTTTGACCCAAAGCTCATCTTAAGCACACACAGTAGTACTCACTACAAAGCCAATAACACCATCAAAATAATCAAATCACTTACGGCCACACAATGAGAAAAACAAAAAGAACTACTCACAACCACATTCCAAACATTCACGCGACCAATCCTCGAATACGCAAACTCATCCTGGTCACCAATTATATCACCCACGCACATGAACACACTCCAAACAGTCCAGAACGCAGAACTCATTATATCCACAGGCTGCACCGCAGACGCCAACATCCATCACCTTCACTAAGAGACCAAACTCCTACCCCTAACACAACACATCAAACTTCACGCCTCACAACTCAGACAGAAAGCAAGAAACCCAACCCACCCACTACATACCCTTACCCTACAGCCGCACCCAAACCGTCTCATGAAACAAACCATTTTCCATAACGCAGGTTTCACCACCAACATAGATACTCCACCTGCACAAGCCACGCAAGACACAACAAAAAAAATCTCATAACAATCCACACTACAATTACAGAAAACTATCTTGCAACCCTTCCTCGCAATAAAATTTTAAACACCGTACCACAGCTCCATGCATCTGAAATCAACCTACCTAGACCTACAAACAGGAACCTTGCACAACTTCGCACAAACAAATCACCGCTACTTCTCTCATATCTAAATAAAATAGACCCTGCCACGCACCCTTCCCCACTTTGCCCACTCTGTCTGTCTAACACGCACGACACCATTCATCTTTTCTCCTGCCCTGAAATGCCCACATCCCTGTCGGTGGGTGACCTTTGGTCGGACCCCGTAAACGCTGCAGGGCTGCTGGCCCGCTGGGGCGACCGACTTGGCTGGCTCCAGAACTGGGTCTAGGCCCCGCCTCGCGCCGTGAAGCGAGGCGGGGAGGGTCAACAACAACAACGGGGAATTACAATGTTTGCAGACTACTGTTGAATTCCTAGGAAGATGAAGCATTATAATAGTGGCAGGCTACTGTTGGATGCCAGAGAATATAAAGCATTTCTAATGCTAGCAGGCTACTGTTGGATGCCAGAGGAGATGAAGCATTATAATTGTGGCAGGGTACTGTTGGATGCCAGGGAATATGAAGCATTATAATTGTGGCAGGCTAATTTCGGATACCAGGGATGTTGCTGCTGTTGTACGCTGTAGAAAGACATTCGATATTGTCATAATGGAGAATACGTCAATAATTTTCATGACACAGTTATTTTAGTAAAAGAGAGGCCTATATAAAATCAATCTAAACATATGTATATAGAATAGAAGTGTCGGCACTAAAGAAATAGGCCCATGGCCTGTTGCCGATTCGTATACTTTTCGTGACTTGATTCACAAGAGATCCGGCCTTTAGAACCTGATCCTCCATAACTGACGATTGATTGAGATAGCTGCTGGAGATAGCATATTTTGAGATAGCTGCTTGAGATAGCATATTTTGAGATAGCATATTTTTAGTTTATAACCGTGGCTCCTCGTGTGGCGGAATCAAAGGAGCAAAGAAATAAAAAGCATTGATATTTCACTCACCGATCCGTTCTTTAATCACTCGAGATTTCACCAATGAAAAATAATCTGATCAGGGTGATGTCACGACACGATTGTGGATATGAGCTGGAATCGCGCTTATCCCATATGTCTTTGCAACTCCAGACTTCAAACACGAAACTCAGAAGAAAATTTTAGAAAGTAACATTACAGTGATGCATTACAGTGATGCACACGAAAAATAGCTTACGGTCGACTATGCAGTTTCTATCATTTGCGTGACTTTTTACTGATATTGGGAAGACTGTATGCATCTCTGATCGCCCTGCAGGGAGTCAAACTGAACGCTTTAGGACAGAGAGATTTCGCGACTAAGTTGCGCTCATCAGATTTTGGTTAAATGTAAACCATTTTCAAAACTTATTCTCACGTCATTTTTTTCCAGGACCGTGCCATTCTAGCGATCAGGAAACTCGAATTGTTCTACGTGGACCTGAAACGCCAGGCTGACGGCACCTACGCTTCAAGCAACAAAGCCATGGTCCTTCCAAGCAACTATGGATTCCAGTGGTACCCCGGCAACCCAGACTTGGGAATTGAAGTGTGTATGGGAATGGGAGGCACTCCATTGATGACGTTCGACCGTCCCTGTACCGCCTCTCCATACGGAGAATATACACTGTTTTGCATGGTGTGACGAGTAAATGCTACAGAGAGTAGACGTTAAAATTAATGATGGAGTCGAGATAACAGCGTTCACTTGGTTAACCCAAGATTTGCCGTGCCAGGTAAATGATTAATTTGTTGAAGATTAGTGAAAGTGTTTCCAGGAGTCACATGATATCTTGACTCCAACCCGAAATTTTGATTACGAATACTTCCAATCGATGCACAGAAACAACAAATTTCGCTGCAAATGTCTTTTATTGTCTTCAGAATCCAGCTGTTCAGCTACCATTCTACGTGATGGTTTACTGCAGCATTTAATCATTAGGACCTTATGCCTATCCTATGGCAGCGATTCTATTTTTATCTCTTTAAGTGATACAATTTAAAATTCAATTGCTTGTGTGTTTTCAGGATTGCACCTCAATCAAACTGGATTTATTCATGTACAATTTCTTATATAACGAGTCAAAATTTCACTCGCCCCATTATATTATATATCGTATTATCCAACTCGCCCTATTATATTATATATCGCATTATCCCACTCACCCTATTATATTATAAACTCGTATTATCCCACTCACCGTATTATATTAATATACTCATATTATCCAACACACCCTATTATATTATGTACTCGTATTATCCAACACACCCTATTATATTATGTACTCGTATTATCAAACACACCCTATTATATTATATACTCGTATTATCCAACACACCCTATTATATTGTGTACTCGTATTATCCAACACACCCTATTATATTATGTACTCGTATTATCCAACACACCCTATTATATTATATACCCGTATTATCCAACACGCCCTATTATATTATATGTTCTCTAAATGATCAAATTTTTGTATTTATACTTTAAAGAAAAAAAAATAAGTAAACATACACGTACAGTCAGCTATGCAACTATAGTCACCTTCACAGGCAATGACCGATCTCCTGGTTGCATGCGCTTAGTGGCGTTACAAGCCTGCCGTCACATACGTGCTTAAAACCAGGGATCGACAACTTTTTTGCTAGTCGTGCGAGTGCGTGGCGAGTGCGGGGAGCGCGTATTTGACAACTGAGACATTCGGGACGGACACGGCTGAATCTGAAAAGTGCGTTAAAAAATGCCCCTCTCTTCCCCTATTATATTGGGGGGAGGGGGGGCGTTTCATTACATACATTGCCTTTCGCATTGCTCGATTCTACCTCATTCAGCAGTACCAAACATTCTTCTCTATTCCAGGTAATAAACGTTCGCCTCTGTCCTCATACACCAGTGCGAAATATTCTGTCACATAACCCAGTGTCGAGAGTTCTCACGTATAACACCAGTACCTTGCAATCTCTTACATTCACTATTACCAAGCATTCTACCACATGTACACCAGTACCGAACATTCTTCCCGCAATTATTAGTCTTCAAGGTTCTCCCAAAATATTCACAGCCTAGTGGATCAACAAGGGTAAATTTTAACGCGTGAAATTGATATGTATGAGCCATTTCTTCATGGTGCGAATTAAATGGGGTAGCTAATTTCTCTATTTCCAGGGATTGAATGACTAATAATATTATCATTATGTATTGTTGGCGGTGATGCAATTCATAGCGAGACCCGCTTGCATTCCATTTCGGCACGCATGCGGGCATACCAAGCAGCATACAATTAAGTAACAATTTGTTATTTCACGATATGTCACTATTAAGTGCCGTTCAGTGAAGCTGTTACTTACGAACACACCAGGCATCCATGTTTAAATGCTTGAATTCGCTTGCAACGGCTCAGCGGTGAAGACTGCATGGTCAACCTAACTACGCATCTGCGCAGTCGACTGTTACCAATGCTCAATTTTCTGTTCCACAATTGGATCCAGCTATCTTGATGAACCAGAAAACCTGGTACCAAAGGCATAGGAACACAAGCAGCTAAGATAACACGCTCATGCCGACATATACCTCAAGTTACGCAATTTCCACTACTGTCAAAATCGTGGAAGCTCAACCGAGTTCGTTCATTAGTTGCAAGCCGCCTATCCGGTGTAAGGTTTTCCAGAGAACTTACTTTCTGAAGCTGTGCACACTGCACAGTAATATAAGAAATTTGTTAACAATGTTCAGAATTAACATGTTCAGCCTTTAAAACTGGTAATTAATTTCAAGTCACATACTTCGCTTTTCGTGGCACGATTACAGGATTGAAAAGAGCAGCGTGTATCGTTCGACAACTAATCAACACAAGAAGCACTTAGGCACTGGCGCCGGCACCATGCAGTAAGGGCAGTAACGTCAGGTCGTACGCGTTTTCGCCCTCCCACCGCATTACCCTAACCCGGGGTAAAAATCAAACACTGAACGTGTCTCGCAACAAATTGTGCATTGCGAATACAATAAATTAACTGTGAAATAAGAACCGTAAAAATTGAATAGGTTAGGTAATCGATGTCGTCTGAACCAATATATAAAAAGGGTTTGGGCAAAATAGTAGGGAAGTGCTTGGGCAAAATCGGTTATTATGCGCACCACATGCAATATCACAGTGACCTGACAATATTCAAATTTTGTAGACCTTTTTTGTATAACCGAAGAAGCATTGCACAGTGCCTGTTAGCACGCAATGCACTGGTATCGCAATGTCAAGCAGTGCATTCCCAAAATCGTGTCAATCTGAACCTGTCATAAAATTTGTAGGCCCTGACGGCAAAACCGGACGTTCATCTGTTGCCGGTGCTGCCAATTAACAGCTTGCACATCAGTTATTTATGTTATGATAAGAATGTGAAATTATCTCATACAGATACGGGCTTTGATTTTTTTTTTGCTGTCACGCACTCTTTATTAAATGCGTTTCTCCTCTTGCACCCCTTAGTCATGTTCCATGCCCTGAGCAGCCTCTGGTTTATAAATATAGCATAGTATAAAGTAAATTCCCCTAATTGTCGAGAAAACAATATTTTAAATACCGCGCAAGCTCAAAAAACTTGTTAAATAAATTCTCACTTTAATCCTTTGTATGAGTTAACAAACGCAGTAGTGCACGCCATTCCAAGAGCGGGAGAGGGTCATGGTTCGCTCTAATACCAGATCGAGTCTGACCAGGCTATAATGAAGCAGCTTTACCAGCTGCTCTTCTCGGTTATATTACGCAGATTCGGCTTATCGGGTAATCGATTCCCGCAAAGGGCTGCTAAATAACAGCCAAATACAGTGAGGTGGTTGAATCAAGCCTGATTCACCTCTGCGGCGAGAGTTGCAACCGATAGGCGTCCGAAAGCTGACTCTAAAATTTGACTGAATGGGTTCAATTCGCAGTGAGAGTAATCCGTGGTTGAGCTTTAAGATCTACGCACATTACGACCATTCAGATTTCATTTTAAGTCTCATTCACTGCTTTCATAATATTTTTATAAGAAATGTATGGACAAGCCCTTCGGGAACGTGCATATTTTCAAAATTTTGAAAACTTCTGTTGAAGTTTACACTCGATATATTCAGATTTTCATATAATATCGTCATGTTACTGACTCCTTCAGCAAGCACAAGTTTGAAAATATTTGAAATTGCTAGGTTTCAGTGATCATAGTCCAGATAAGTAAATAAAATAATCATAGTCCGGATAAGTGCAATTAATATATGTATATTTATATATTTTCATATATATATAAATTCTGACTGAACTAACTCGCACATTACAACACAAAAGTTCTGCAAAATGCGACTGGAAATACCGAGAATTATTTCGAAATTCAAAGCTTGTTCGAAGCCACAGGGTGCAAGTTTCATCAAGAAGTGGCTGAGTCATGCATGCAAATCTTAGAAATTGTACAATATTAGGCAATTATACAACATGATCTAATAGTGAATTTTCTAACATTTGTCCATATTTTCTTGCGATTAGAAGTATCACGAGACATGATACCCCCATGTGTCTTATCATGTTCATCAATATTTATTCCCGTGAAAGAGAACTTCAATAAATCAAATTTCCGGAAATTTCCGGCGTGTACCGGACAATACCAGTTCAGAGTAAGGTGAGACGCTTCGCTTTGTTCGTGTGGCATACAATGATTTAAAATTCCCGAAGTTTAATTCGAGATTAGTGCTGGGGTCGATGTGAATAATTAGGATTGACTCACACAATCGGACAAATAAATAAAGAATAGTCAGTTGATATTTATTCAAATTAAACGTGCAACTGGCGTTGATCGGGCCAGTTGTATGAGAAGCCGAATTTGATAATTCATATGCTGCAGTATAAAAATCTTTGAAGAACGGGCGGTTCAATGAAGCAATTTCGTTTGCAGCAGAAGAAGCTCCTTAATGGTGTTGCCCCGACGGGTCCCAGATACTGAAATGAAAATAAAACTACTTACTAAACAATTTATAGATCAGAAACTAGCTATGTAGCAAACAATTCCAAATTATGTATCAATAATCAACAAATAACTAAATTGACAAACCTAAGATTTTGGTGCATCTCAGTGCTTAATGCATTCAGTAAGAGCCAAATTAGAAATACAGACGAAATCAGTTAAAGGAAGGTACTCTAGACGGAAAAATAGAAAAGGACAGTTTGAGATTTTGACGTTAGAAAATTGAAGAGAAAGATGATTAATCGTTGGTCACAGCAAAGGAAGCTAGTTCCTCTGCCAATATCAGAGACCACGTAGCTAATTAGAAATTTGAGATATTAACAATTTAATTGAAATTGATTTGTCTAGAGTACCATAGAAAAAATATTGTACATAGAGCGTAAATAATTAATATGAAAAAAAGCAACATTAACACCAACAAAAAGATAGTGAAACAGTAATCAAGAAGATATTTAGAATCTGAAGGTCCTGTTGCTGTACTGGCTGAAGTGAAGATAGGTCCAGAAATGAATAACTGATAACTAGCTGCGTTTGAGTTAAGGCACGTTGCGAGAT